TGCATATTAAAACCAGGCCTAAACTTGTGGCCTTCGGTACATGTTCAGGTTAATGATGCATTGTGCAATGAAGAATTCGCTTCTGTTTTTCCTGAATCTCCTGCCCCAAGTTCTAGTATTTAGGGAGAGGAAGGAAAAATCTGTCTGTTTTATCCATACCATACTTAATATTATAATTCTGAATCACCCCTGCCCCCAATCACAAAAAAGTGTGTTCCTCCCCCCTTAAACTATAGAGCTTCAGAGTATTTAGCCTTTCCTTGCAGTGAAGGTACTCTAACCTCTAGATCATTTGGATTACCCTTTGCTGTACCATGGTGTGCTTACTGAGCACCCCATGGCCTGTAAGCAATACTAGACTCTCCTCTACATTTCTATAAAGCAGATTCTGGGATATGATTATATGTACAATACACACAAAGGAGATAGGACTGCTAGAGTATAAACCTCTTGGTCGTGATCAGGTCACATATCAGTGGAGAGGAGAGAAAGAGTTCCAACTCACTACCCAACTTTCCCCATCTTCCCTACTCTCTGCTGCTGAGAGTAGGAGCAACATGCATATGTGCACACATGCGCACACAGAGCCCATGTGTCCCCTGGGTAGTATGGCACCACTTGCCCAGTAGGGAGTCTTACTAGCAGAGACTAGCAGGAACAATTCTGTCCTTTGGCACAATATAGCACATGTCACAAAACCCGTCTCAAGTTACCAGCTGTGGGTACACCAAGTGACCTCACAGCCTGGGGAAAACAGACTTTGTGTGTATAAAGAGGAGAGAGGATATAACTAGGAGGCTTAGATTGTCCCAGGATTGGGGGAGGGGGGAGAGAATTGCAAGAATTTTCCAAAATAAAAGATTCTGCACAGTCCTAACTATCTGACGAAGTGAGCTTTGACTCACAAAAACTTATACCCTGGAAAATTTTGTTCTAGTACTGCAGATTAACACAGCTGCCCACCTGAAATAGTCATAAAGTATACTTTTCCTAGCCTAGAGTTGCTTCACTCCAAGTCTTGAAAGACCTATTTGACAAGTGCTCTCCCACCTATCCTAGGTGGACATTTCCTTTCAAGCTCCAAACACAAGGGACTTCCTCTTCAATGGGTCCACTGGTTTTCTATCACTCATTGAGCAATTGGAATGATGGTCTGAACCAATTGTTAAGATACAACAGCGAGGTTGCTCTTGCTGAGGTACAAGTGTCTTCCAAGGCTTTTTATCCCCTTTTTAAAGAGTAAAATGCAAAGTACATTTCACAGTGCTTTTCCCTTGTGTGTGTTGCATTCTTCTTATCCTCCTTCTATTCTATTGCCAAAACCTTTGTTCTTCAATATGTGTTCTGTCTAATTCGGGTCCCTTTGAAGTTTTTTGTTTAACTTAAGAAAGCTTAATCAGGAATCCTTTAATTATTCTGATTTGAACCCAATTTCAAAATAAAAGTACAAACTTCAAAGGATACTGAATATAAGTGATTGTTAATGCACCGGGTTAATGCACATGTATTTAAACTATGTCAGTTTAAAAATACAGCTTAATCCCCATTGTTTTGTAGTGACATCTCATATAACATGAATTAGAATATAAAAATTAAAACAATAGGGAGGGACAGTACTTAATCATCCTTGGCACTGCTGCCATTATTCGGATTCACTTGAAATCTAATGGCATTATTTTTGTTTCTGATACACAGAATGGCTGTCCTTCCCTTAAGCATGCAGCAATTCATACAATTATCATTATGAAATAATAGCAATAGCTAGAATGGGACATTATGATAGTTAAGCACCTCTTTCTATCCCTTATAGCCAGTTTGGTATAGTGGTTAAGGGAGCGGACTCTAATCTTGGAGAACTGGGTTTGATTCCGCACTCCTCCACATGCAGCTGCTGGCATGACCTTGGGTCAGTCACAAGTTCTTTCACAGCTGTTTTCGAAAGAAAAAGAGCTTTTTCAGCCCCACCCACCTCACAGGGTGTCTGATGTGGGGAAGGGAAGGGAAAGCCACTCTGAGACTCCTTCAGGTAGTGAAGGGCGGGGTATAAATCTAGTTTCTTCTCTTAAATAAATGGGTTTAGACTCCTTCCAGTTTGTGTGCTGTAGAGAGCTATCTGAAGTAGGTTTACTCAGAAGTAAGTTTCATTTCATTCAGTAGTGCTTACTTTCAGGGAAAATATCCTTAAGACTGCAGTTGTAGCCTGCACCCCAATACAACTGCTACTAAATTTTTAACAGTGAGGATATCAAGGGTACTTATTCACTTCCATTTCGGACAGATTGAAATGAAGTTTACTTTTATTTGGAAGTCGGACTTCTAAAGCATGCATAAAATTACAGTCAGAAAACATGCAGTTCAAATGAGAAAGTCAAATTCATGTTGGGTGACTAGTTTTGAAGGTTTTTTACACACTATTCAGGGGGGGGACTATGGTTTTCTTTTGCTTCAAGCACAAAAAGTGACCCTTCTTATATTTCATCTATGTAATACTAGTTTTCAAAAAATTCTTAGAACAACAGAAAGCAGGAGCGGGCTTGTATTTCATGGGTTATGGTCAGACATTGAATAAAAAGAGGGGTGGAGGGAGGATGGTCGGATAGGAGGGGTTTGGGAGGGGTTTGGAGCCGAGGGGCAGTGGTGGGAGGAGGTAGATTGCAGGAAGCCACTCCCAAGGCTGTAATGCAAAAATGAAACACCCGCAGCAGACCCGGGGCAGACTGGCTGGAATTCCTTTTACTGTGAAATTGACAAAAATGCTTCGGAACAGGAAATTCTGGCGGAAACCAGGCGTAAGTGCCAAGTGAGAAATCGGCCTATGTATTCATTATGGTTTGTTATTATTTATTTATTCACTTCAGTTACAGGTGGATTACACAATTAATTAAACACAGTGCAATAGGAACAGTATAATACGTATAGCACTACAATAAAAACTGGATCACAGAACTAGTGTACTACATACAATAAATCCGGATTACAAAACTGAAGAGCAGTGCAATGAAAACACTGTTATGGTTGCCTAGTAACGGCCAAAGATGGCATCTCTTAAAGCTACAGGCACTCTTTTTATCATTGGAGTGGGTTAACATCCAATTTTCAATTATTATAATTACTTTTTTTAGATTTCAGAATTTTCTGCAAACTTGGGATATTTTTCAGTTTTGTAGAAAGATCTGTCTAGTCTGTTCACAGGTCTAATCTCCAGATTTAAAGTATCCTCATATTTCAGCAACTTTGTTATTAGAATATATGATATGTTGTGTAAAGTCTCAGCCAAACCATGGTGATCCCACAGGGTTTCGAGGCAAGGGACGAATAGAGATGGTTTGCCATTGCCTACTTCTGTGTAGCTATGCTGGACATCCAAGTACTAACCAGGGCCATGCCTACTTAGCTTCCAAGATCTGACTAGATCAGACTAGCCTAATATAACTTCAATTCTGGTAACAAATATCTGTTTCCACTCCTTGAATGCATTATATTGCTGGGATATAATAATAGCATTCTGTCAATTGAAGCAGAAAAGAGAGTTTGAAGATATTGAAGCAAGTATAAAATATTCCCTTGGAATAAGGCTGGCACTAAGTTGCTTGATTTTCTCTGTTATAGATTTGCCGCAAGCTCAATGGAATCCGGTTTACCTGTTGTAAAAGTGCCAAAGACAGGACATCAATGTCAGTGACACTGGAACAATGTTCAATTTTAAGAGATGAACATCAGTTGCACAAAGACTTTTTTATTCGTGCACTGGACTGTATGAGAAGGTAAGTTCCTAGTTTCTTCGTGTCGTTCCCATGTGTCAAATCTCTGTTTGGCTTCACAGTGGATAAAATGTAGCTTGGAGTTAAAACTGTGCAATTTGATTTTAGCCTGCTCCAAGTCCAGATTCTCCCAAACATATAATTCTCATGCAAACACCCTGTAGTATGTATAATTAAGTATTACTTAATTAAAAATAGTAATTAGTTCCACCTAGTGCCTTCTGTTAGTTCCTTTAATCAAAGATAAATAAAATGTAGCAAACAAAGTGGAGACAGATGTTAACTGTCATTTTTTAAAATTAAGTCCTCCGCTGTTTGTTTTTTGTAAATAAAAATTACTTTGCATCTTAAGTGTTATGATTCAGAGATTAAAATGGAATTAATCAAGTACAAGTGGGGACCTGTGAGAAACTCAAAGGAAAATTCCCCCACTGGCCACTGCTTAGTCCTCTGGCTTCTGACACCCCCCAGTTAGCTTTCCGTACCTTTTCCTCTCACTGCCACCTTGCTATTCTGCTTACCTACCCAACCCTCAGCACTCTGCCCATGCCCACCCTTGCTACTCTCCCTATCTAACCCCCATCCTTGGCATGCTACTCACTGCCCAGTAGCCAAGGCATCCTCTCCCCTTCCATGAGTGCAAGGGAGTCTAGTGCAGCTGAGGGACTCCTCCTTCCCCCCCCCCAGTGCTGAGCCCGGCAGTCTGGCCAGTTAGAAGCCAGCAGGAAAGTTTTAAGAGGGCAGCTGAGCCAGCAGTTATGGAGGAGTGTGGTGAGCAAGGAGCCTCTTTCTCACCTCCACCTCTGCAGCTGTTGCAGGAGCCGTTGCAGCTCCCAATCACCCCAACCCCAGCGTCGCCTCTGGGCCTGGCGTGGCTCCTGGCCTCCATCACTGGGTGGCCACTGCAGTCATTGCCCCCTGGCTCCCAGCCACTCCCCATTGCCACTACCCCCACTGGGCCCAGTGTGTGTCCTGGCCCCCATGGCCATGCCTACCAATGCTCCTCTGCCCTCCCTTCACCATCTGATGCTTGGAGGAGGACATATGTGCATTGTCTGCACATGCTCAGACAACGGTTTTGTTTGAGGCAAAAAACCCCAATGTATTTTACAACGTTATCAGATTTTTCTGCAAACCTGGGGAATCCCCCACATTTGCAGAAGTATCAGTTTTTAGTCAATATTGCCCCAATTCACAGATTTAGATATCCACAGATGGGGACACACTTTCACTATTCAATGTATTGAAAGTCCGCAGAATTCTTTTTTAGTCAGTATTTAGACTTACCCACAGATTGGGCCACACTCTTGTTATTAGATACATAGATATGTAATTAGGAGATGTAGTAGTGATGTTTTGAGTATCAGCATTAAAGTTAAATAAAAACAATCTTGACCTCTACAGTTTACGTTTTATGTTCAAAGGAAGTGGCATTATATAAGCCATTAATTTACATAATGTTAAAAGTCCCCATCTTAAATATTTCTGCACTTGCTAGCTAATATATCATTAAATTTGACATACCAACATCAAGTTTGAAAGTAGTGCTCAAATGATGCCACTTAGCCACCTCTACCGTTTGTGACAGCCCTTAGTTACTATTTTAGAAGCCTATGTAGGGAGATAAGATTTAGCCTCCCCAACTCTATTTAAAGGTGCGTTCTAAGGGACTGGGATTTGTGGATTTCATTAAGGGCACCCTTACCTTCTCATCCATAGTTCAAGCACTATCTCAAAGGATGAGTAATTGTATGTTCCTCACTCTGGTGAAACAAAATCATTCAACAATCTTTCACTATGACTTTTAAAGCAAGGAAGAATGTCTTTAAAATTTGGACATAGTGATTGATGATTATTCTGGATTCTTTTTAGTACCATTTTATCAACATAAAAGGGGTTAACTATACAGTATCCAGTAATTCACCCTTTGCCCTTCACCATGAAAATGAATTTTGTTTGTTAAAAAGATGCTAATGATACAGAAATAAATCAGCAGAACAGTACAAAAATGCTGATGTTTAGCTTGTTTGGAAATTGCTCATGTATTGTGTTGTATTAATGTTACATACATTTCATACATATCATTATTGCTCATAAATTCTATTTCCACTGCAGCTTTCCAGCCATAGTGGGTGATGCATGCGCTAGCTTTCAGACCTAAACATGCTTTTACTAATGATCCATTTGTTTTTGTATATTTAATCATAGTTCCTATTGAGGATCCACCTTCTCAAGTGTTCTGTGAGTTTGTAATCCATTTGACAGATATAATGCTGTAATATAGCTCAGCTTGGTTCTTGAATAAAAACATTTCAGCCTAAAAAATGTTAGTGCAGGCAACAGAATAGGAAAAACAGAAACATTAGGAACCAATGCAGTGAAAACGACAACTATATCACTCCAGTTCTGAATAACGAACCTATTCACACCAATTGTACCTAAGCACTATGGTCATCTTTAGAGGCCCTGCTTTGGGTACACCCACCTTCTGAGATTAGGTGGGTGACAACACGGGAATGGGCTTTCTCTGTAGCGGTGCCAAAACTCTGGAACTTTCTCCTCATGGAGTTTCATCTGTCCCCTTCTTTTGCCATCTTCCTTCAGCAGGTGAAGACTTTTTTGTTTCATTTGGCATTCCCCCAGGGATCCCTCCTTGCTGCCCAATGGTTTTTATTTATTTATTTATCAGATTTATACCCCGTCCTCCCAGCTGAAGCCGGCTCAGGGTGGCTTACATAAAAGAATGAAAACACATAAGTAAGCAATTTAATCAATCCTAAAACCATATAAAAACAGTCCAACGTTATGAGGTGCTAAACATTAAGTAATACTGATAATAATAATATTTATTTATTTTGTTTTGTATGTATTCAGGGCTCTAGTCGGGGGGGAGCTCTCAGGTACGGAGCTCCGGAAGAGAACCTCTAGGGGGCGGGGCGGTCACGTGGTGAAGCCCCGCCCCCTTCTTTACCCCGCCCTCTGCTTCGATCCTCATTCCGTTTGGGAATGAGGATGAAGCAGGAGGGTAAGTAGCAGGGCTTCTGACACACTTCCGGTGATGTCAGGGGGTGTGGCCTTCTGTCACTTCCGGTGATGTCAGGGGGCGTGGCATATGCAAATAGGTTATGCTAATGAGTTATGCTAATGAGCTCCGGCAGCTCTTTTTCTACAACAAGACCCCTGTATGTATTTATATGTATTTTAGTGTTAATTGTTTTAATTATTTTGGAGGAGCAGTTTTAATGGTATACTATAAACTGTGTCCTTTAGTGGTTTTAAAATGTGCTTTCATTGTTTATGTTTTAATTTGTTAGTCACTTTGGTAGTCCTTTTGAGAGCAAAAGGGCAGGATATTCTGTACCCTGTCAGCCATGTTCACTGAATCTTCAGCCAGCCATACATGCTATAACTTACAGGGTTGTTTTGAAGATAAAATGGATGAGAAAAGACTCATCAGTGCTACCCTGAGCTTCTTGGAGGAAGGGCAGCATAAAAATGCAATAGACCCATTTTCTCTGCACTCTGTATAATTGTAGAAATCATTGTTCCTTCCTAATATAGGTAAAGGTAAAGGTTTCCCTTGCTCGAAAGCTAGTCGAATCTGACTCTAGGGGGCGGTGCTCATCTCCATTTCCAAGCCAAAGAGGCAGCGTTGTCCAAAGAGGTTTCTGTGGTCATGTAGTCAGCATGACTAAATGCCAAGGCACACAGAATGCTGTTACCTTCCCACCGAAGCAGTACTTATTTATCTACTTACAATTCCTTGTTTTCGAACTGCTAGATTGGCAGGAGCTGGGGCCAGAGATGGGAGCTCACTCTGTCACACGGCATTAGGGTCTCGAACTGCTGAACTACAGACCTCCCGGTCTGCAGCTCAGCAGCTTAACTTCTGAGCCACCACGGCCCCTGTTCCTTCCTACCCTTGCCCTAATTATCTCCCCCTCCCTTCAACTACAGGGCCTTTCTTTGTAAGGATTATTTTAGCTGCGTCTTTCTATATTATTCTAGTCAATATTAATTATATTTAATGAAGAAGTAGCCAACATAGAAAAGAAAGTGGGAATTGACTAGAGGGAGGGAGAAGTCCAAACCCTTCTTGCAACTCCTAGTCTCTTTATTATAAGACTGCTGTGAATGTTCATTCTTTGTTACTGTCGTTGAGCACCTGAAAGCTGTAAAGAGCTCATGTGAATGTGCATTTCTGTTTCCTGCCATTGTTTTCTTCTCTGCCAGTTCTTTGGCACCAATTTGGGGGGCCTTCTTCCTGAGGATAGTCATAGGGCAGTCATAGAGCAGTCCCTCCCAACCTATTAGGCATCAGGAACTGTCTGTGGTGCCATCAAAACATTGTGTAGCCAGCCTGATTTTGTCTGCAGGGCAAAACTATTGAAGACAAACTAAGCCAGTTGCCATTAAGATCAGTAATTCCTGGATCTAAATGGATGAACACCTTTGTTCTAGCCCCTAAACATTAACCCCTTTCAGCCCAGCTTTACTCATAGTCATGGTTCAGAGTTTGGCAGTATGCCTGGGATAAAAATGACTAAAATTGTGAAGTGTTTCTTCATACACAGGGGTGAGTGAAGAATGCCAGCAGCATAACAGAACTCCCTGTCCCAGTGGATGCTCCAGAGCAGTAAAGGGGAGTGAAGAAAATTTGGCTCAAGCAGGAGTTGGTTAGCTTGCAGTAATCTCCATCTACCCTAAGTGGCCTTTGCATTTTTAGCGAAAGCATACTATATTCAAGACACTCCTCAGAGATTTTGTAACTTGCTTTTGAGCCTGGTCCAAGATTAATGGAGTGGTTACAGGATGTGACACTTGTGAATTTATCCTTCTGTGCAATTACTCCTGTGAAGTGTTATTGATAAAGCTATGCAATGTATTTCTGAGCTCCACAAACTTCAGGCATAAAAGTTTCTGTTTTCATTTGGAAGGGTAGGGTTATTTTGTGCAGGAGACACTGGGGCTTCAGGGCTTTATTTTTGCAGCTTGAGTTGTGG